CAATAAAACCTGCAGTCAAGATTTATTTAAGAACAAATGAGATTTAGATACTTGTATGAATGAACAACATTTTCCACATGCATTTAAAAGAAACAACTAACACTTAGCAGTTGAAGTGGAGTTACAATCCACTAACCACTGATCTCGACTGAATGGAAGAAAAAAAAACTTTTAGCCCTAATAATTCTTTTCCACTGCGATGAAGCCGCCACTTTTTAGCAATTCTAGAAATCGTATGTGAATTGTTATAAAATGCATGTGTATGTGAACATTCATTCTATCTACTATGAAAATTTCTACATACATATGAAGGTGACAAAGGCCATTTAATTGTTCTTTCTAGTTTAATGCAACAGAGGCTAAAATACAGGCTGAAGAACTCACAAACTCAAAAGATATGGGGTGCTTCTTTTTCTTGTCATATTGTTTCTCTCAAATTGTCAAGGAAATTTAGTTTTACAAGCCACTGTACTATGGTTTCCATGTGGCACTAGGAATTCCAAAATAACCTATAAAATTAATTACCAAACAAAAACCTTGCCCACACATATGGCCAATATTACCCAAAATTGTATCTGCCATTAAATTATTGATTTGTTTCAAGTCATGTGGAATGAAAAATAATAATTGATATATTCATAATAGAGCACAGATTACATGCTAGCATTTTATTTAGATCTTTTCAAACAATTAAGTATTCTATAATATAATAAAGTATAAATAGAATAGAATAAAGTATGTAAACTGGACAATGTTTTTTCAGAAATGTGTATTACATATTTACCAATTAATCTCTATCCAAATATTACGGTGATAATTGGCATGAATAGTGTGCATGCCAAAAAGAATGTATTTTTACAATCCTTGCAGGAGAGAATCTATTTGAAACAGACCCAAATACAATGGAAATCAGCTCCTAACATTTATGCTGAGCCTAAAGAAATAAAGTTTCCATTTAAACAAACCAATAAGCAAGTTTATTTGATGCATCTACTGGATCTGCAAGCAGAATGAATTAGACTAATTATATAAAATAAGGCAAATATATAGTAGGGTGTTTAATTCCCTTCCTGCCCCCAGGCTTTTGAATGTTCTCCTTCATGAGAGGGAGATCCATGAATAGTTTGTTTTTGTCCATGGAGAGGCTTGAGAGACCACAGGAAGAATAAAGCAACCATATGATCAGATTTTTAGACAGGCTAATAGCAAATTCTCACTGGCCCAAGAAACTTGAATTTAGACCTGGTTTGGGAACAAAATTAGACGTGGCTTCCTGAAACAGGGAGACTGCAACTCTGTTGATTGTGTTTAATCTCTCAACAGCTTTAGATAGAACTGATCAAAATTTGTTCCTCCATTTCTGTGTGAATTTAAAACGGGGGGCAATACAATATTGTAATTCCATTCCTAATGCAGGAATATTTCAGAGAGTAATATTGGGAACTGTATTTCTGCGTACTATTGTGTGATGTCTCAAGATCTATTTTTAATCCAGTACAATTTAAGATGCAGCTGGAGTGGAGTAGAGAGGCTCATCAAGACTCTTGAGGCAAAGTATCAATATCCTGATGACTCTCAGCTGTATTTTTCCATAATATCTGAATCAGCAAATGTTCTGCACCATTCTCACTTGTACAATAATTCAACGGGGACAGAATTCAGAATTCAAGACAGAGACCATGTGATGTCTATATACAAACATTTGTTCTAGAAGAGAATATGCCTTCTATATATAGAAAGACTCTAGATCAGGGGAGTCAAACTTGCAGCATCATGTTGTTGTCATCGTAATTGTTTCCCTCTTAGCTAAACCGGGGGTGGCGGTGGCCAGCATGTGATGCATCTGGCCGTGGGCCACTCCTGCTCTAGATTCATCTTTTTATTGAGAGCTGAAATTTTTTTATTATGTTAAATATTTATAATAAGTATACTAACTTTGGTTACTATACAGGCAGTCCTCGACTTACAAACAAAATTGAGCCCAACATTTCTGTTGCTAACTAAGACAGTTGTTAAGTGAATTTTGCCCCATTATATGACATATCTTGACACATTTGTTAAGTGAATCACTACAGTTGTTAAGTTAGTAACACAGTTGTTAAAAAAAATCTGCTTCTCCATTGACTTTGCTTGTCAAAAACTTGCAAAAGATAATCACATGACCCTGGGACACTGCAACCATCATAAATATGAATCAGTTGCCAAGCAGCTGAATTTTTATCATGGTGACCATGGTTGTAATGCTGCAATGGTTGTAAGTGTGAAAAGCAGTCATAAGTCACTTTCTTCAGTGCCGTTGTAACTTTGAACTGTCACTAAATGAACTATTGTAAGTTGAGGACTAACTGTACTAGCAGTGTCTTTTCTTAAATAGAGATAACCTAATGTTCACGGTAAGGGTGGGTTTAGATTACTGTAATGCACTTTAGGCAAAGATATTTCTGCCTGTTCTTTTTTGCATATAAAACTCTAAATAACTTGAGATTACAATTCCTGGCAGATTGCCTTCCGTGATACAGACCTGATATAGACCTTAGTCTATATCATGAAATGAAGTTTTGTTGCTTTTGTCACAACTATCAGGTTGTAATCTTATGGTTAGACAGATGATCAGACTTCTTCACAGTCATATTCACCCCATTCCAGAGACTTATGGAATGCTTTCTAAATAATTATACCAATAACCAGCAGAGATCTAGCTGTCAAACCATTACTTGGACAGTGTAGGCTTTCTGTGATGGTGTAGGCAATTCTGATGCAGATAATCTCTACAGTTCTGCTTTGACTAAGTGAAGCATTGATAATAACCATGTTGATATTACAATAGATAATTTAATATAATAATATTTACATTAGATAATACTGTATTTTCAGTTGTAATCTTTAAAAGTAACAAAAATATTCACATTTATTTCATTTATTTGAAGAATGATTGAATAGGTATGCATGAACAAAAATACTTTCTGATCAACAATACTTTTCTTTATTTTTGTTTCATTTAAATAAGAATCAGATCCCAAATTTTCTCTATATTTTCTGCTACAAAAGCAACATCACATACAAAGAAACTAAGACTTGCTCTTTTGCTAAAGATGAATTTGAATAGAGATCCCTTTCCTTAGACAACAGTGAAAATTTCCCAAATAAAGGACAAGATCTGCACTTACTCTTGGCTGTGAAGTGCTCTCAAATTAAATCAGTTTGAAGTGGTTTCATTAAGATGGATTGAGTGTGGCATCGTGAGAAACACTTTATCAAATGCAGTGTTTTACTTAGTGATTAACTATATACCAGTTGATGAAGCTCCCCAAATCCTTCATAATCCCACCACTCCAATAAACATTTAATGAGCATATAAGTTCAAAAAGCCCAGCAGAGGATTTAAACTTTCAATCTTGTTTTTATTTACTCTCCCAACTCAATTTCTCACTTCAAGTTAAGAATGCTATCGCTTGAAGCTCATCTGTTGCCCTGGTAAATTAAGTGCCCTGCACCTCAGGACAAAACATATAGGTTCTTGCAAAGATAGAATAAGAGATAGATAGATAGATAGATAGATAGATAGATAGATAGATAGATAGATAGATAGATAGATAGATAGATAATTCTTTTTTTAAAAAAGTTGCAAATCTTCAAAAATATTGTTTTCTCTTCAGAAAAACTGCAGTCGTAAAGGACAATGAATACTAAGGCACACCCGCGATTCAGCCATTCACTTTTTTACTCTGTAATTGTTATATTAATCTACAGAATAAATATCACATAGGGAATTAAGTATTCTCAAATATTTAATCCTTTTGGAAAGAAAAAGTGTACAATTTTTATTGATGTTTACACATTTTTACAAATTGAATATACCAGTATGCTGTTAGAATGCATGTAATGATCAAGGTTGACATTTCTGTAATATCACATTATATTTAAATACTTAGATTTTTTGATTGTATATAGTAAATATTTTGCTCTTGGATCTTAAGGGTGGAATCATCACAATTCTTGCTTATTAGATATTAAGACACTGACTGCTGAGAACCAAAAAAATGATGCTGCTTGATAGTGATTAGCCTTACATATGCATCTAAGCTACACTGCACTTTATATATGAATAGCGATATTAATTCATTTATTATATGTAAGCTATTTCTTGTGTATGACGACTAGTTTAATGTAGTCATCAAGCTAAAAACTGGGAGACCGTGAATTCTAGTTCTGCCTTAGGCAGAAAGCCAACTGGGTGATCTTGACTTTAGTCATTCTTTTGCAGCTCAAAGAAGTTGGCAATTGCAAACCACTTCTGAAACACCTTACCAAGAAAATTACAGGGACTTGTCTAGGCAGTTGCCTGGAATCAAAAACTGATTCAAAGACACACACAAAAAATAGTTTCATCATTATGTAATTAAGACATTCTTAATTGCTTGCAACAGAAACATTTTACTATATAATATTGCACAACTTTGTACTTTCTTCCATGGTAATAATGCAACTCAGAATATTGATTTATTTATTACGCAGAAGAATTCATAACTCTCATCTCATTCTTCATTACTGTCTCAGAAAAGATATTAGTATAGGTTCGTTAGTAACTGCTTGGGAACACAAAATTGTTCTACCTGCTACCTAACACTATTACTGGTATTCCTCCATTGAATGAAGATTCTTTAGTCCAGTGAAAATCAAGCATTTTTCAGAAAATTAGCTTTCACTTTTGCAGTCCTTTGCATTATTTTCCAGACTGTTTCAATCATCTGGGATGGGATGCAGAAAAGAGTGGATTGGCCAAAAATTAATCCTTTCTCATCCTTGGCCGAAGCCGCAACCAGTTCAAAATGTTTTTTGTTACTGAGCAAATATTACTCCATGCCCCAGTTTTCAGAAGAGACCTAGCAGCAGCAGTAGTATAAAATTCTAAAGTTCATTAATATGGCAGAAATTTAGAAGATATTTTTTCATTGAGTTCCTTTGTCATCTGAATAATATAGAATTTGAAATGTACTTACATCTCTAGCTTTCCCATAGAAGGCCTCTTGAAAGGCAGCCTCTAAAGATCCAATAAAATATACTGGATGGCAGTCACCATACCTGTTTCAGTCCAACATGTTTCAGTTAGTAAATATAGTTTTTAATAACAAAAAGACAATAGTATTATTTTGCCAAAATCAAATATCCACGACTTATTGTATCAATGCCATAATGATAGTTATATATCTAAATATTTGTATATGTACATATACATTCACTGAAAATATTTTTTTTTAATTTCAAGCTAAATAACATTGTAAAATTGAGGGCTAGAAAAGGTGCTAGACTTTTATCCTTCATCATAAGAAAGACTGACATTTTTAAAAATCTGAAATTGACATAGCTCCATTTAGCCATTCTTTTAATTCAGGAATTAGTGTAAATTTTCATATTAAAGAACAGAATTCTTCTTCAGTTGTTTAATTCTTTTCTCAAAGATAGTGGTGGACTTAACAAGGATAAACTTAATGGAAAATGCAGTTTGTTTATTTTAAATTATTTTCTTTAATAGAATATACAGCCAATGACCAGCAAGTAAAAAAAAACAATTAAAGGATAATAAGATATAATGAAAATATAATAGAGGTAAGGACAAAAAGAAAACAGAAGGCTAAAACTATTGAATATCAGAGAACCGGTAACAAGATATCGGCATCAGGAGGAAAACAGTCTTTTATTTCTGTTTGAGATAGCAGCCAATAAGAATGTAGCCTCTGTGTTTGCAATAAATGGGTTTTGATCCTGCAGGAGGCATAGAGCTTCTCCCTCAGAGTAGAACTGAGTTATATTAAAAGTGGATATTAAAAAGGTAGAGTGTACAATGTCAAAGAAGAGACAGTGGGGGGAAATGTGAAAATACTCAAACTGCAAGGACATTCTCTTTACAAAAGGGATTTTCTATTTCCGACCATTCAATATTGATGTAGGAAAGTTGTTGAAATAGGCCAAGCTAAAAGACCTATGGTGTAGCAAAAAAAAGCAAGACTGAATAGATACTTAGTAGGAGCAAGGTGGTTCTAGAGTAGAACCCGCTGTGAGAATCACCAATAACCCCTAGATCCAACTGTCATGCAGCATTAGAAATTCACTAGCAAATTTCTGCCCTGACTTTCTCTAAATTCAAAGAACTAAATCCAAGGAGAAACTACAGAAACTTAAGTTGGCAAAATATTTGTCTTCTGTTGTTAAGGGGAGTTGTCAAAGACCATTAAGGGGGCAAAATTGAAGCAGTGAAGCGAAATTTTAACTAGTAAAAGAAGTGACAAGCTTGGGCTGTTTCTTCAAGAAGAAGCATTCCTGATTCCACACATATCAGAGCATTTGAGATATAACATAAGACCTGAAAGAGAGTAGACAAAATCTTGGATTGGACAATCTCTAAAGAAGATGTTATAGATGCATACTTATGAACTATTAAAAAGCTGTATGGCAGCAAAGAAGCAAGACTCCTAGAGCCCAATAATGTCTTGATGCTATTACCAGCTTGTTACTAATTTGTTCCTGCCAGGTTGTAGCCATGGAATATAATGGTCAGATATTTAAAGGCAGATTATTCAATGTAATTGTCATTAGTGCAACAATGGTGTTTTCATTCACCAGCTCTGTCCCTCTGAGAAAACCATAATTTTAGCTTTAAAGTAATTAACTGTGAACTTTTCCTCCCTACAAAAATCTGCCAAGTCCCAGAGACTTTTAAGGGTAATCTGAGAAAGTGAAAGGATTGATGTATCATTTATATAAAAGCAGCATCACAAAATATCTTGCTTTGTGAGTGTTAAATTTTATTAACCTGGGTGATAGTATTTTCATGTAACTTCTTGATTAGGTACAGAAGAGAAGCCATTGATCTGTAAAGATACATGATAGTTTCTACAAAAGCATGTCACCTGAAATGGATCTTCAGTAATGTTTACTGGACTCAACAGTTGGTTCCTCTCATTAGGTAATACTGCCATAAATAGGCCTCTGGGGAGGAATATGCTTCTACGGCTGATATTTGTCAGCAGTTAAACTGAAGGATATTGACACCAGCTTTGGTGTGCTCAATGTTCTGATCAATAGAGTGGTGTTTTGTAAGAGATGCAAAGTCTGTTGATTGCAGGTGAGTTTCAGATAGATTTGTAGTTAGGTTCTAGGTACAGTCATACTTTAAAAGACTCCTTTTGGTGTAAGAGGACTGCAAGATTTTGAGTCATCTGTGCCAAACCTTCTAACTTAAAAGAGGAATTCAATTATTTGAAAAGTTCTCATTCTTGAAGCAAGGATGGGAATGCTGAAAAAAGGTGAACTATTTTCTTACCAGGATGACTTGGAAGACAGGTAACTTGTATTAGGACTATTGTTTATAACTGGCAGCAAAGAGTTATCTTAAAGTGTAACAAAAAGTGCCCTTAGAAGTCCATCTTGCGATATTAAGTGTTATTAGCTGAGACTGTGAAAAGCAATTTTCTGTTTTTGTAAACAAGAAATGAGTCCTCTTTCACAGAGGGGACATCAAGGTAACCATCTTTTTATGGCTGTCTGCCCCTTGAAAAGTAAAACATACTGTGGCTCGACCTGGAAGCAAGAAGGTGAACTTTCTGTGATAGTGAGCCAACTTTGTAGTTCTTTAACTTTTCCCTCAAGTCCTCAAAAATAACTGCCTATACTTAGAGAACTGCATATTACTGAGAAAATGCACATTTAAACCTCCTCGGGCTAAGGCGGGTATTTCAAAGTGGCAAAATATGTATGTAATTCATTGAAAATATATTTTAAATGTTAGGTTTCCAAATATTCATATATTTGTTCTGCCCCTTTGCTAAATACATGAAATTAATCTGAATAACAGATCTTCAACATTAAATCTTCAAAACCAAAATAACAAAACTCTAAAACAATGAACTGCATGGAGTCACATTACCTAAATAAACTTCCAAGTGATCTATTTATTTATATGACTGGATTTAGAGACTGCCCAACTTCCAACAACTCTGGGTGGCTTGAATTTCTAATGGTAGGAAACAATAAAAGGAAAGGAAGAAAAAAAAGGCTTGTTCTGATAGAAAAATTCTTTTTAACTTGGCCAACATGGAACGAGTAGAACATAACCTCCAAGAACATTGCAACCATGAAAAAAAATAATGAAATAGATTGTTGCTCAATTCCAATTTGAAAAATCTCTTTCATTGTCTGAAAGCCATTATTTCTATGCCAAGCATAAGAGACTGACATAGAAGCAGAATGCAAAGAACTGGCCTGTGATTTCAGATCTTATTCCCATGCGGAAGTGTGTAACGGGAATGAAACAAAAATAATAAATGGGAGGCTCAAACTGAAAGTGAACAATATTTTAGATTTGCAAGTCAATTTTTCACAGAAAGGCAGTGGAACTTTCAGATCTCTACCTGATATTTTGTTACCTTATACAAACAAATATTACATAAAATTTAAGCACAGTATATACATGTACTAGAATTCATTGGAAGAAGCTTGCTACCCTATGTGTTTCATGCTAAAGGAAAAAATAACAATGATATATGTATATAGATTGTACTTAGTTTTAAATCTAACCTTGAAGAAAATTCTGCTGTGAATTGTAATAAGGCATCTCCTTCATTTTCAGCATTTTCCGGCACTACAGAAGGAAAGGAAAATATTGCAAGTAAATATTAACATGCAGGTTTAAAATATTTCCTTTACCATTTAGCCAAATCTTATGTGAGCTCTACTTATCCAGCATGTCAAATTATTAAATGAAAAGAAGATAGTCTTTTGGAAGTATTCTTTGAAGATGAATCAATGAATACAATGTCAATACTGTAGTGAATGAGTTAATACAACGTCAATACTACAATCTGAAAATACTAAGCAATTTGTAAAATGGCATAACTTGATACAATAACTAACTCCCCTGTAAGCAACTGAACTCAATTTAAGGTGCTAGGTATTAGCTTATAAGCAGAAAACAACTCATTAAAATGATTGAACAATAAAATTCAATATGCACATTAAGATTAACTGGGAATATCTTGCCTATAGTGTCTTCAACTTATACTGCAGGAGCCATGAGTTGAACCTTCTCTACAACAAGTGTCCCAAATACAGCACATTCTCCAAGTGATAATTAACTGTCTTCTTTCAGAAACCAACTGAAAACATGACTGTTCATAGACATGGCCCTAAGATTACCTATGGTGTTTAAGCTACCCCTACCCCAACTATTCTTTTCCCTGGCTTTCAACCATCCTGCCTGATTAAACTTATCTGCTATTGTTATTTTATCTGGTATTATTTAAGTTATTTATAATTTTGTATACTATTATCAAGTATTTTTAGGAACCCAGAGTTATGTATTTAGCATGGGAGGCACAAAAATTTAATAAACAAACAAACATTAGTAGATGTAAAATATGTATTTCTTCTATTTTTAATACTATATTATAATAATGTCATATTTAGTTATAATATGTGTTACAATGAGAAGACCAGCAGAACACAGGAGCTACTGAAATGTATTACAGCATCTTATGTTCTTGGGAAGAAGTTGATGCATATGATGACCAACTTTAGCTACAGAACTGGCAGCTTTGATGTCACATTTTTGTGTATATAAGAATAACAACAGAAGAGAAAGAACTGGAGAAACTCAGAAAAAGAACAACAATAGCAAAAAAAAAAAAAAAGAAAGATAGTACCAATAGTAAAAATTGCATTGGATGCATTTGAAAACATCTGGAACATCATTTGAACACTATTAACAATAACAACATCACTATCAGCCAGTTGCAAAATGCAGCTTTATTTGGAATAGCTTACATCATGTAACAATTTTGTTAAATAAATGTAAAATAACTCAAAGTTGACTCAGCCTTCCATCCTTCTGAGGTGGGTAAAATGAGGACCCAAATTGTCCAATATACTGACTCTGTAAACCACTTTGAGAGGGCTATAAAGCACTATAAAGCAGTATATAAGTCTAAGTGCTATTGCTATTGTTAATTCCTTTTATACATTATCAAACTTCTACCTATCCTGGGTCTTTGGGAAGGACGTGAATAAGTGGATAAAAATACCAAAGTCAATCTAAACATCAGGCTGACTATATGATCAACCATGGTAATAATAATTGTACTGGTGGACAAAAATGTCAAATCCTGTCTAAATTGACTGACTGTGCAAACAGCAATAACTATACAGGTAGAGTTGCTTGATGGTAAGATGTGCAGCATATAAATTTGCTAACTAAATAAACATTAAATATAATATAATACAATGCCATTACTCATATTGGTTATTAATTTGTATTGAAAATATGATACCCAATGAATAGGTAGCTTTTTAAGTTAACCAAAAGACTTTTCTAAAGTGTCTATTTAATAGATTAACAGAATAAAAATTTCAGATACAAATAAAATTTGTTCAACAAAAATGTAAGTTTATCTGATTGAACCTAATCAGTTAATAGCAAAATATACAAGACTATGCCATTATTAATATCACAATAAAAATCAGAATTCAGTGAAATAATCACATTTATTCATGATTTTAACTATTTTTTGTTATTAATAGAAGTTAATAGTTCCTGAAAATCTCATTCCATTTACTGGTTATTTGCCTAGAACACATTTATATAATTTGCAACTTAATTTTCCCTCTTCTTTTAAAAAAGTTAATTTTGTATAAAAAACAAATTGTATTCTCTATTATCTCTATTATATCACTCCAAGAAAGTCACACTATAGTCTCAAAAAGCAACACGTACAAAATCATTGATCACTGAAAACAAAATCTGTTTTCTCTCCCCATCCCTTGTTTGTCCAAAGTTGGGCTTATACTATTCACAATACATAGTAATACTTACTCATTGGAGATTTTCTCAATGCAGATGATGCCATACCAAACATCTCTCCGTCATCTACCCCAAATTCTGTAGCATCTTCAAAGTCATCTCCATCACTGTCACTAACCATATGTACATCTGTGCATTGCTATTTTAGTAAAATTGATAATAAACCAATTACTGAACAAATAAATATCAACAATAAATTTTCATAGTTAAATATCAGAGTCACCAAATTTTCATCCAAAATCTTGAAATAAATTTCATTTTTATTTTCTAATAAGTATCTTTGAGAAAGAAGCATACATAATTAGGGTGTGTCAAATTTATCAACTTTCAATTTCCAAACATTAGGGGTGCTCAAAAGCTGTGACAGCAGACATTATGCCATAAGATCAAAGGTAGGGCAGAAATTTGACATATAATTTCATTTTCAAAAAAACTTTAATAAAAGTTTATCAGCCAACTGTGTGAGAAGAAGGAGTTGTCTTACCTCTTCTGATTGTTCTCTAGTTTGTGCTGGTGAAGACCTTCTTCCGACTGTAAGTCGATGGCAAGGATAAGAGATTCCTGAGGCTGCTAAAGTAATCTAAACAGAAAACATGTATTAGTGAATTATCTATCAGATTTTGTTAAGCATCGAAAATCAAACTGCAGTAGACATAAATACCAAGATGCATTCTTTTTTAAAAAATAAGAGCATTTTCAACCCTCTCCTTTTCATGGAGAGACCATATGAATCTAGGATGAGAAGAAAAAAGTTCAGAAAAAAAAGTAGGATAGCAATTTAAAACGAATGGGGTTGCCAGTGCTAATAACATAGATGTTTTTGCAGTTAAGAATATTACAGTTGTTTTTAAGAAAAAGCAAGCTTTTGATAGTGTGTGCCATACCACATGCACTAATCAAACAGATGGTAAGGATGAAGGGGAACTCAGGTACAAAACAGGTTATGTAGAAAACAAACAGAGTTGGTCCAAAAGGACTCAAACATCTATACACCAATGCCCAATGTTTATGAAGAATAAACAAGTAAACTGGAAATCCAATTACATGAGGGCAGATATGATATTATTGCCATTATGGAAACTTGGTGAGATGAAATCCATGAGTGGACTATACAGCTACAGGGATTTAAATTATTTGAAAGAAACAGAACTAATAGAAAAGGTGGAGTTGCGCTCTGTTATACCTATATCTCTACAGAAATACAGCAGAACAAGATGAAAACCATCTTGTATGCATTTAAATCAATATAAAAGGAAAAAAGAATGACATTGCCATAGGTGTATACCACACAGGCCACCCAACCAAACAGATAAAATAAATGAACTTTTTGATAGTCCGTTAATTAAGGTATACAGGAAGTACACCACAACAGCAATGGGGGACTTTAACTATTCTGACATCAACTGGGAGACGAACTTTTCACCTCATGGAAAATCAAACAGATTTCTGACAAATATAGCAGAAAACGTTGTCTCCCAAAAGATAGTGAAGAGAACTAGAAGGTCAGTCATACTGGATTTAATTCTCATTAACACAAAGGAAATGATAGAAGGCATTGTTGAAGTACAGGAACCTTGAGAGGAGGAACCATGAAATATTGGAATTCAACATTATAAAAGCACAAGCAATAGAGCAAAGTCAAACTAGAGTCTTGGATTTCAAGAGAGTTGATTTCCAGTTAGAGCCTGAAAAGGATTCCATGGATGAGAATCCTCAAGGGGAAAACAACTCAAGAAACTTAGGAACATTGAAAAGCTAGATTATAAAATTCCAGTCTAGCACAATTCCAATGAAGAGATAAAATAAGAGATCTCAAAAGAAACCAGCATGGCTGCACAAAGAACTCTCTGATAAACTGAAAGACAAATTGACAAGTATAAAAAATAGAAAGATGGGCACATAATTAAGGGAGAATATCAGCAAATGGTCTGAACCTGCAAAGATGAAATCAAGAAAGCTAAGGCTCACAATAAACTAAGGGTTGCAGCAAAAATAAACAACAATAACAACAACAAAAGGTTCTTTCAACATGTAAAAACAAGAAAAAAGCCAAGGAAACAACTGGTCCATTAATGGAAAAAAATGGCAAGAAGGCAATGAGAGCAAGAACAAAAAGCAGAACTGTTTGACTCATTTTTTGCATCTGTCTTTACACAAAAGGAAATAAATAGTACAACCTATTAAAAAAACCTATCAGCCTGACATCAATACTTGGGAAGATCCTGGAAAAGATTATCATGAATTTGAGAACATCAAGAGGCAAACAAAATCAAAACCAGAAGCCAACATAGGTTTGTCAAAAACAGATCATGTTAAGCAAATCTTATTGCATTGTTTGACAAAGTGACAAAATCAGTGGACCTGAAAAATGCTGTGGATATAATTTACTTGGACTCTAGTAAGGCATTTGATAAAGTAGATACAACCTACTACTTGATAAGATAGAAAAATGTGGGTTACCACCAGATGGATTTGTAACTGGCTGACTAACAGCACTCAATGCATCTACATGGAGGGAAGTATGCAGTGGGGTACCCCAAGGCTCTGTCTTAGGCTCAGTTCTCTTCCATCAATGATTTAGATGAGGGGATAGAAGAGGAACACATCAAATTTACAGATAACAACAAGTTGGCATGAATAACCAGCATTCCAGAACATAGGTTCAAGATACAGAAGGATCTTGACAGACTTGACCACTGGGTCCAATCTAACAAAATGAAATTCAATAGTCAGAAAAGTAAGATTCTACATTTAGGCAAGAAAAACTAAATTCACAGATATAGAATAGGTCAGGGGTCTCCAACCTTGGCTTGTGGACTTCAATTATTCAATTGCAAGGTTCATTGTAATAGAAAACCCCTTCTTTGTTGTATCTATTTCTATTTCTTTGACACTCAAATAGGTATATAACTGTCTTAAGATACCTCCCCTATAAATATAGATATATAGCCTTCTTGGTTAATAAGCTGCTATGCTATCAGATTCCTCCAAGTAAAAATGCACATATTATTGAAAACGAAGACATTAAAAATGAATTGTACTATGTCAAAAATCAGTTTATTACGGTAACCCTTTAAAATTGATTAATTTTTGCATTTAAAACAAGGAAAATATTCTACCTTCCATGTCACTCTAGTATATAATCCAAAGCCTAGCAAATACATTGGGAAAAACTCCTTTTTGTTCCTTTTTATTCAGGGTATTTTTAATCACTGAAATGCTAGAACTCATAAAAGCCTTAATTTTCTTCAGGTTAAAGGAAGCTGATTAAGTGTGCTAGCTAACCAAGTGAGTGTTGACCTGCCTGGACTAGCCTGCTGACACATTCTTGTAGCAAGGTTAAATAACAATTTAGTCACAATTTTAAAATCACAGAGTTAAAAAGAAATGACTATTTTTGAATAAATGAAATATTAATGTAGACATTTATGTCAAGCTCAATTATCAGTGAAACTCTTCCAAGCCTAACACAGAATCTACACTCGCTTTTGCAATGGTGACACTGCTTTTTTCATCATGTTTTGTTTGTTACTGGGTTCAAGTATAGAAAAATAAATTCCTCTAATTTTGCCTATATAGCTAAATATATCCAAACCTTCTAAATAGCAGGCTAAAAGTGACCAACGTGAACACATTTAAGTACACTTGTCATTGTGATTAAGTAATTAAAGCCAAAACCTCACAATGAATAGCTTCTAATTTTCACTGGCTTTATCCAGATTTAGGAATGCTTAGCAGAATGAAGCTTAAATAACTAAGTATTATCAAACTGAGATTTACTCTATCTTTAAAAAGTAAGAGCATTTAAGAAAAGACAGACAAGTGAACATGGTGCTGGTCATTTGATGCTCTTTTGTTCCATAAGATCAATAGGTTTTTTTAGATAAAAAACAGAATATTCTTTTTTCTTTTTTATTCTTATAAGTTATGGAATTGGGAAGAGGGATCAGCACAAATCATCCCTATATGGTCAAATGTGAGTTTCAACTACTAGAATTTTGAAATCAATGGCATAACCAGTAAGCATTTTTAAATTAAATTTATACAACTGAAGGGGAAAAGCCAAAATGGCATTTAATATTGGTGATAATTAAGATACCAGATAGAGTTATTACATTTTTATATCCAACATTAACATTTCAATTTTATACCTTTTTAACATTTTAATCCATTCGTGCATTTAATAGTTATCAATATTACTGCTAAAATAGCTGTTGTTAAAAAATGACAACATTCAAAGCAAACTATGAATTTAAGAGACCCATTCCCACCCCAATAAAAGAAAGACTATATACAATCAACAATCCTTCATATTACCTAAGTTTACCAGTGATTGATAAAACTTTTTAACTGCCACTGAAATCAATCCTGATTTTTTTAACTCCAATAAATATTTGCATGTAACCCCCATGTGTATATGCACAAACAGACATGTTTATGTACAATGGTTAGAGGCCACACTACAAATAAGAGAAGTATTAAAATAACATTAATTGAATAACTATAATTAAAAGTAATTGCCTATAAAATAAAGCAATCTGTTTGCAAAACGATAGACATCCTATCTAAAAACCCAGCTGTCAGGGTTCCAAGTAATAGATCCATCGCAAGCAAAAACTCCGAGGCAGATAAATTCCTCAAAGAATAGCTTTATTGGAAATATCATATTGGCACATATCTGGTGAAAACCGATTCTGAAGGCTCCCACAGTTTTCCCGAAGTAAAAGTGAAAGTCCCCCCCCCTCAATTCCAAACAGTCAGTCACATGGCCCATTCAAGGCAGCATCTACTGGCCAGGTGACATCATTCCTTCTTCCTCCGGCCAGGTATGAGAACGTCCTTGGTTCCCAAGAGAAAGTATTTTGTTTTACACAGCCCAATTATGTCTATCTCCTATTCCTCAGCTCCAGTGTGAAAGCACTGAAGCTCCAAGATGGCTTCATCCAGGCCAGCTTCAGGTTTGACACCAGCCTTAATAAATTCTTTTAACACTCAAACTGGACCACTTCACTCTGTCAGAGATTTACACACTATGGAATTCTGAACTAAACACGCATAAATCTTTATAAATCATATTAAGTTTTGGTGAGTTTCTGCAAAGGAAAATATCTTCATCTAGGAAGTCTTCACCAACTGAGTTTTTTGAATTTCCTGGTGTATTGTTGTGGAGAACCAATATAGATAAAGAAGGATCTCCCACGCAGATATGAACCCTCCACTCATACAGGCCTTCAAAATATAGGTAATTTAATCTAATTTCACTACTTTGATCTCTTGTCTATTTATTTGCTATCTACGGTACCTTTACTGTTACCATATCCTCAACACATTGAAGAGGATGCCCACCTCCAACTCGTAAGTTTAAGGAGGAAAATAAAAACATAATCCTGTAGAAAGTATTTGAGATTAAAAAGAACTAGTGAAAAATAATTCCAATTATTTCTGCAAAAGCTTTAATTGTAGTGATTTATTTATTTATTGTGGTTTTATTATTTATGCACTTATAACCAAATGTAATATAGATACAATAAAACAACTGATACCATAGTGCAGGGGTGCCAACCTCAAGACCCGGGGGTT